CTGCACTGTGCATATCTATCAAATGTTTGAACTCATAAACCAATCCCTTAAGTACCAGAAGTTCTGCTTAATGCACATACAAATAACTGAGTATCTGTATCACAGAAAGGTTATAGACATGGCTGCAAACAAAAAGGCAACTGCATCTGATCCCTCACTCTCCTTTTGCAAACATCCAATGACAAGGCAGCTCCAGTTATCAGGTAAGGAATTCCCATGCATAATGGAAACACACTAAAAGCATTATCAATCCATACAGCTAGCCAGCAGTCTATTGATTTATAGACAAAGGAAGTTCAATTTGTTTCCTAAGAAAGCATTAGGCAATTATTTTATGCCCTCTAACCCTGAAGAACTGGACTGTAGTGTGGATACTTTCATTTAAGTGCTGATCACTGTCTAGATTCTAAAGAAGCACTCTGGAAAGAAATAATGACAACCACATTTATGCTAAAAAACTACCTTGTTTGTCAAAAAGACAGCATTATATTGTTGCTAAGGACAGCTGAGCATGGGCAAGCTTCTCTTCCCATGGCAGTAAACTTTTCAGATGGCAGGTCATTAACAGGATAGCCCCTGGGTAGAGGGACCAGAGAAGTATTTCCATTATGACGATTTTAACGTGATGCTTAACCCTAGCTTCAGTAAGGTCAAAACAATCCACTTGCAAGAAAATGGAACTCTAACACATGAACTTCAGGGGTAAATCTAATATTGCATCAAATTTTGTTCTCCTCAAGCTTGATGCTTTTGCTCTTCCACAAAGAGCTTGCTTTTACCTGGATACAACGTCCATGCAGACAGGGCATACTCCAAGACAGAGCTATGTATGAACCAGCTGGAATAAACACATGACTGACCATTTTCAGAAACCTACAGTTTCTGAAAATTCATTTGTAGTAGCAGATTACAGCAAACAGGCACATTACCCACCATCCCTTCCGTCAGGGGAGACCTATCCCATCTTGCAAGTACTTCTGGCTTTATGATTGTAATTATAGCTTCAGATCCCTGATGAAGACAGTAACAAAAGAGGTGTTGTCTTAATTAGATGGCTTCAGTGCACTTACCAGCAGTGTCCTCAAACTAACAGAAACTTTAGCAACTTCTATAAGCAGGAAAAAGGTGTTACTGCATCTAAAAAACAGAACAGAGTCGACATCACATTTGTTTCATGCAATTTCAGCAACAGCATTTACATTGCAATTCAGGAATTAGGAGTATCAGTTATGTTTGCATTAGGCCAACTCCATCACCTCTACAATTGGCTCTTATTTAAAAAACACAATTCAAACTACTTTTTTTTCTTTCTTCATTTTTTTTTCTCCAGAGCTTGCTATCTATCTATTCATCTCAAAAGACAAAGGTGCAAAAAACTGCTTCTCTCATGGGCATTCCAAGACACAGAGTTTGCATCCTGAATTTAATGTTTTTAGCAAAAAATCTGTAAGAAGTCATACCAAATGATTACTGCAGATGTTAGGTTCAAGGCTGCACTTAAACAGCAGTGAGGAAAGGGTGCAATGATTACTTAATGTCAGAAAACAAAGGACAAGCTCTAAATTGTTTATATATCTTGTGGGTCTCTATTCCTTCCTGCCTTCCACATGAAGGTTTCAAGGAAACTGGAGAAAACCAGGAAACACTGGAAATGCCTTTTCAACAGCTGCCCAGCTTTTCCAGAGGAAAAGATCCTCTTGTGGATTTTCTACCCCCACATCTAAGTCCCAAAATCAAATCTGCAGGTCAAAATAGGTAAATCATTTTACTACTGGACAGCATCAGACCTCCAAGTATGTCAGTATGCAACTGTTAAAAGTAACAACCTACCGACAAAATTGTTGGGCTAACGTGCAAAGACAGAGTTTATTCTAAACTACCCATATCAAACCCTGAAATATTATAAAATGAATATATGAATAGGCTCCATCACCTACAAAAGCAGCAAAGAAATCCTTCTATCAAACTATCTATGCAAGAAAGAGGCTTTACAACACAGTGATGAACCCTGCTTTTTCACTGAATGAGAAAGAAGGCTTCGGATTTGGAAACTCATTAATAAGAATACTATTGCATGTAAGACACAACTTTACAACACAGTGATGAACCCTGATTTTTTTACTGAATGAGAAAGAAGGCTTCGGATTTGGAAACTCATTAATAAGAATACTATTGCATGTAAGACACAACTGCAGACGCCCAGCTTGGAGCAGCAGCTTTTGTTCACTAACATTACTGATGAATTTTCAAGCCTTTGGTGCATTTTGCAGCTGAAGCCAAGATAAACATACAGACCTCCCTCTGCAGGTTCACACCCTTGAACAACCACAACAACATAATTAAATAGAAAATTACTGCAGGCAAACAAAGCTGTCAGAGGGAGCTGTGCCCAGCCCAGGAGTCCTTCCCATTAAATGATGAAACTTGTGTTGTAATAAACAGATACAGAGCAGCTATGGAATACTGCCCAACACCCAACTCATTTCTGCAGACAAGAAGTTTATTTTGATTTTTTCTTCCTCTCTTTAGTCCATCTGATTCTTATCTATTCCTGGTGGTGTTGAATAACTAGGGACCTCAGCCACTTGTCAACTAGTTGTCCAAGGGAAGAAAGCACACTTTGGCCAGATAAAACCCTGCCTTGCCTTAGATTCTTGGCTTCAGTTTCTTCCATGCCAAGGATTGTAAAGCTGTACTGTGAAAGGCCCTTCTATCTGACCCACAGAAGCTACCAGTCCTAACAGCACCCCTTAATAATGACAGCTTTTACCTCCTGTTCTAAAGATCCATGCTGCTGTAACAAGAGATGCTGGCTGAAGCTGGTTAAAAACTGTGGTTAAAGGCCCACAAGATTAAAAAAAATTTAAAAAGACAACAAAAAGGACATTTACTATAGACATAATTCAGAAATTAGTAAAACCAGCTCTGTTCCCTTGCATGGCCAGGAGAAGCCCATGGTCTGGGAAGCATCACTATTTAGTAAAGCCCTGTAGGAGAGAACTCACAGTATAATTTATCAACACAAACGGTTGCCTAACTAGCCACAACAACACGAGCAGTTCAAAATTTTTCCCGAGTTTTGGCTAACTGGCCACCAGAAACTGGAGGCCTACATCTCGCCAGTTTCAAGGGACTGGCTCAGAACCACTGCCACCAGTCTTTTTTATTTTAATTCTGGGAATCAATCATGCAGTTCCACGTTCTACAAAACTCCTTTTAAAATTAAATATAGATGTAACGGGTTAGAATTAACGATCCCGTGCGGGCCCGGCCGATCCCGGCGCGCCGCGGCTCCCGGCCGCCCCTCCGCGCCCGCGGGAACGGAGAACTCCGCCGGCCCGGGCCGGAAACGCCGCTGCTCTGAAACACGTCCCGGCGATAAGGCAGCTGACCGCAGGTGGGGGGAAGCCGACTGCGGCAGGCAGCTACGGCCCACGGCGCACAGCTCCGGTCAAACCACGCTGCCTGTTAGTCCGAACACACCCCCACTGCCCCCTTAATGAGTGAGGTTAACACCGGTGTTCACGAAGTCCGGAAAAGCAAAATGCTATTTTCAGCTGTGAAACAGCCTGCAGAAAAGGAGGCTCAGGGGTGATGTTATCACTAAAGAGCAGCGGACGCACGGAGCGAACACACAGCGTCCCCCCGGGGAGCACCGCCGATCCCCGCCCGCGCCAGCGCTCGCAGCCTGCCGCACAGCGATCCCGGACTCGCGGGGGAGCCGGGAAGCGCCGCAGGGCCCGGGCTCGCCGTGCCCGCTCACCTTGCCGCCGCGCTCAGGAGGCGCCATGGCCGCCGCTCCGCGACAGGATGAGAAGAGATGTCCTCAATCTGTACCAGGGCAGATTCAGATTGGACATCACAAGGAATTTCTTCACAGGAAGGGTAATGGGCTGCCCAGGAAGGCAGAGGGTAGAAGTGTTTAAGGAAACAGTGGACATGGCATGAATGAATGCCATGAATGACCATGAATGCCATGGTCTAGTTGACAAGGTGGTGTTCAGTCATTGGCTGGACTCAAATCTCACAGATCTTTCCCAATCTAATTGATTCTGTAATTCTGTAAAATGGAGTATCAAAAATTATTGACAGCCTATTCTTAACATTAGGGAAAGCATGCTAGCCCCAAACACAGTAAAATTAGAGGAAAATCACAGTAAGAACCAGTACCAATGATGGGAAAAAAAAGCATTATGAGAAACCATACCTTTCTTTCCAGTGACTGCTTTAACAAAATTTAAAGAAGCAGGGTATGATACATATATTACAAAACAAAACTAAACCAAACTAGAAGGCTTTAATGTATTCAGTGTTATTTTGCTTTACAAGCAATTTAATAGCTTTAAAGTACAAAACACCCTGACAATAAAGGACTTCAAATTTTTTTTCAAAGTAAAATGTGAGTGTGCCTTCTTGTAATACAAAATCTGGAACACTAAATATTTCCAAAAATGTATAGCTCTGTTGAGAAGAAGCAGTATTCTTCACCAAAACGTAACATAAACCCAACAACTCCATAAAAGGAGGAATCACAAACTGAGCACAGGAATTTGGAATCAAGATTTATACAACTACGATAACTGCAGTAGGCACCAGCAGGTGTCAAAAAAACCTCCAACATTACAAATCAGTCTTGCTTTTAGTGCTCCTACAAGTCACTTCCTAGTAGCCATTCATATGTGTTTTCCTTTAAATCCTTAAAATCAACAAACCCCCTACAATCCAATGCCTGTCACAACAGCAGAACTCGTAAAATTTCTCCATCAGAAATTCCCCTTGGTTCTGCTGATGCCCACAGGACATGCAAAGTTGTTGAACTTGCTCCTTTGTGCATGTTAAATTCCCTCCATTCCTCTCACTTGGCAAAAAAATATTCCAGGGATCACCAGGCGTTAAGCAGTGCTTTGAGTTACACATACTTTGGTCTTTACACTGTTGAGCTTCGTAGCCAATGTAAATAAAAAAAAACTTGTCTCTTTCCCCACTGATAGTCAATATAAATAAAAAAAAAAAAACTTGTCTCTTTCCCCACTGTGCCCTACCCAAGTGCCTAAAGAAATGGAGGTAAGCAGGCAATGATGGAAGAGGGAGCAATGAAATGGAAGGTCTGCACAACAAAGGCTTCATGTGCATAGTTAAAATATTAAAATGTGCTGGATCCATTCAGGAATGCCAGCTTCTATTAATTTGTTCTTCTTTGGAAGTTTGTAAAAGCAGGAGTTTCTTTTTCCGATATTCTTCATTCACCTGCTCTGCTTGCTCATCTATGGATTTTCTTAGACATGTTTTGAGTTCCTCAATTCCTTCTCCAGTATATGTAGATACAGGAATCACCTCTCTGAATTCAAGAGTATTTTCTGGAATCATTTCTTCCTCTAGTAAGTGAAAGAAGTCTGAAAAATTGTATTGAAAAAGTTAGTACAATCCCCTGTATCACTACAAATACTGTATCACTACAAAGCCCATAAAATCCCATTAAATGTAGAAAATATACTTTAATAAATTACAGTTATAAACATAGCTGTAATTAATATACATACTATCTGCATAATTAGTCTTCTCAAATCTCAGAAGACAAGCACTAATATAGCAGTTATACCATTCTTAATGCGGCCATGAGAAGATTCTATACACTTCCAGTGAGTACAAAGAAATCCCAAGTTGCAGAATATGGGAGAATATGGCCCTAAGCCTTTCTGGTTTCTACACACTCCAGAAAAGAGAAAGCAATTCACCCCAAAGTAATTGCAAGATTGAAATAAACCTACATAGACCTTTCCATAATTTTCAAGTGTTTAGGCCAAAATCACATGACAAACGGAACATATGTCAGTGCCTGTGAGGGCACCTTCTATGCAGGTTACTCTTATTCCAGACACCTAGACTGGAAACTTGCTCTCCCATATCATGGCTGGGAAAGATCATCTTGGATATCTCTATTTTATTACAATCATTTCCCAACAGTGAAGCCATGACAAATGCATATAAACACAGCTCTAAATTTTAAACATATGTTCAAATAAGAAATTTAATAGCCGACTTCAGCTTCAAACAACTCTCTGCCAATGCAGTTATCCCTATGAAATCTTACTACTACTTTTGATGAGAGCTATTGTCGGAATTTCATTTACCCTGAGGATTCTCTAGTTGTGTCATAAGTTCATCCAAGTTATCCTTTGCACAAGGCAAATCCATTTTATTAATGGCAAGAAGTGCAGGCTTTGATACAAGTTCCTCTTTGTACAGCTCCAGTTCCTTAAAAAAAAAGTAAATTTCCTTTAATAAGTATTTGTAGTTTAACAAGTGCTACTTTAATTTTACATCTCCTCTTGCATTTGTTTAATTGCCTAAATAGCCCTTCATGCCCAAGCAGCTGTGAGTTTGACTCAAGTGCTCAAGGCTGATATAATACAGCACAGAAGAAAATAATGTTCAGTGATTCAGTAATTTTTTTGCTCAAAGACAGATTTCAGGTAAGCAGGCTAGCTCATTCTGAAATGCCTCTTACAAAAAGAATGAGAGTTTTAGTTTTTGTTTATTCATTCATGAACACAAAATCATTTTCAGAAAAACTTCAGACCTATAAAACATTTAAGAAAATAATTTAGAGAGTGTTATAATTCTTAAACATTTTAATATTAGAAAATCACAACCTGAATAAACTAAAAATAAACAGCAATACCTGAAATTTACAAGATTCATCAACTTAAGTCACACAGTTAGAGATAAATTCTAAGTTGCATAATATGTATTATTTTAATCAGAAGCATAGTTAAGAGATGGAAATAGAGAATGTCTGCAAAGCTGGGGCCTGATGGTTTATGCAGTAAGGGCATCAAGGCAGGGCTTTAACTGTAACCACACATTTCTACTTCTAAAAATGCTACTGGATTGGGGAACTGAAAATTATGTGTCTTTTTACCTTTACTTGACTGTAAGAAATATCCTACATGCTGCACAGATTAAACAATTCTATTAATAATTATGTGGTGCCCAACATAAACTAGAGTGGTTTAACCTGGACAAGTAAAAATAAGGACTTCATCATTTTGGAGAATCTTTATGGTCACTGGCCTTACATTATAAATCCAGAAGACCCACTAACATTTGAATGTTTCTCCATCAAAACTGAGCCATTCTCTTGACTCAACACTTAACTACAGCTGTCACATAGGAATATGAGAACTTACCTTTGTTAGAAGCAATATTGTTTCAAAGGCTGTTCTGAATGGAGTCTTCATAGACAGCTGAAACCCAGAAATATCAACCTGAAAAAGTTACACAAAAACAAGTTTTGTGGTGTAAAAATACTTATGCTACAGTATCAAGGTACTCTCCATCAACTACTTTGCCCTGGAATGTTTGCCCTGTTTACTCCTGGGCAAATAACAGAGGGCTACTAAACAGCAAAGAAACATCAGACACTGGAGGCACAAATTGCTTAATTCTGATACAGTGTTTCTCAAAGGTCTGGTTTTTAAACTTCTTATGGGAATCTTAAGAGAAAAAAAAAATCATGCTTTTGTTATGCTTGGAACACTTCACTGTTCTAAATTAATTGGAAATTTTCAATGATAAATTCTATTTAAGAACTTAATTTATCATTAGTCATTTGATTGGTCCATTCTGTAAACACAATTACAGCTATATTTATCATAATCATGCAAATTATAAATTACTTTCTAAATTCCAACTACATTTCAATTAAGATGTATTCTATTTATTGCACTTTGATTCCAATAAACTGTAAATTTTATTTAACTTACAACTAAGAGAAGCTGTTTGGTTCTCTCTACATGTTTGAGAAATTTGTGGCCCATTCCTTTGTTTGCATGTGCACCTTCAATCAGTCCTGGGAGATCAGCTACTGAAATCTAGGAAAACAAAAGTTTCAAACAAAATACTTCCAGTAAGCAAACACAGGGACTTTAAACTACCAACAGTGATTATCACTATACATAAACAAAAGAACCCAGACAAAATAATATGCATTGGCTGTTTCAGTACATTTACAATCTATCATTAGAAGCAGATTAAACAAAATGCTGCTAATTACACAGACCTGGTGCTTCTCATGTTCCCCCCCTCCCGTCTATTTTTAATAGCTGTCTGCAAAGTACAAAATAGAGGGTAATAATACCTCAGCAGAGACCTTACAAAATTTAGCTATTACCTGAGAATAAAACAGACTCTGAAAAGCGAGCAGTTTAGGTTATCACATTTGTATAGTGACATTTCTCACTGTCACTGAGAAAGCAAATAAAGTCTGTTCCTTGTGGCTACAGAGTATCATTACTCCAAATACAAGCCCACTTAACACTGCTCCCCTGAGCATCAGAAGCTACAAGAAGTTAATTTCTGCTCTTCAGCTCTAATGAGACTTTGATTACTCAATCAGCTCCCAGACAGAGCCCAGCAAAGACTGCCACAATGGACAGGGGCCTTGTCATTTTCTCTGCTGGTTGAGAGGGTTGTTGGCCAGCTGAGGAAGACTGAAAAAAAGCAGAGTGATAATGAAACCACCAAAATGGCTACTCAGTATGTCACAGAAAGCTAAGACAGAGAGCGAAGTAAAGAAGAGCAAAGGTAGGGTCTTCAAATCTATCTAATGCCCATTTAGACAGCAACTGGATTAAAGTGAACAATACCTGAAGCCAGCATACCATAAAATTTCCAGTGTGCTACTTAGTACAGAAGGGGACTCAGATACTCTGGTAGAAAATATAAGTGATTCTGCTAGTTTTCATGATCTGGTACTGAGACCTGAAACCCAATTCTACTCAGATCCTACTGAGTAGGATCAGATTCTACTTCTGTGTCTTTTTTTTTTTTTTTTCTCCAAACAGTAATGACAGACAGCACTAGGAAACCTGAATGTATTTTCTTTTTTATATCGTACTAAGATAAAATGAGCAAATTGTTACATATCTCTTTAAAAATATCAATGTTCTTTAGGAAAATATGAGTCATTGTCCTCTGAATGATAAAGGAAAGACACCTCAATCATTGCTCTTAATTACATTGCTTATGCTGTTTTGAATTCAGCAGTTGCAATATGGGGAGTACTTCCTCTTACCCCCAGAAGTTCCATGTGATCACAACCCCTAGTTCCCTCGACTTGAAAAATCATATAGTTTCTATATAGCCCCCAACACTGTGGAATAAAAGCCATGAACTGTAGAAATGGCCAACAATAAGGATCACTGGCTGTGACAACAAAAAGACTTCAGAAAAGAAAGCCAGGAGTGCAAGTACATCTCTTGCTGGAGAAAAAGACATTAATATGAGCAAGAGATCCTCATTCATGGCAGACAGTTTTTTGGAAGGGCTATGAAAAATCCTGTTTATTTGCAGCATAGCTTTCCAGGATAAACTAGCAGATAAAATTAATATAACCTTAAACATATTGCATCTCTGCAGGGAACCAGACAAACTAGGCTTACTTTCTTTAATACACAGTTTACTTGAAGTTTGTTAAATGAAGGTTTCAAGCATCAGCTACTGAATTTCCCTAGCATTATTGGTTCTGAAAGCAGAAACAGTAGGTTTTTGTCTTTTCATATCTGAGGATTATGTTTTTCTGGTTAACTCATCTGAAACCCTTTTATGCACTTGCCTTTTATCTTGAAAATGATGAGTCCAGTGCTGAATGTACTATACACTTCAAAAACAAAGTAAAAGCACATCAAAGAAGATTCAAGCTTGAAGAAAAAATGTTTGCTGTAACTTTTAAGTGAAGCTGGGGTCCAAAATCTATTAGCCTCTCTAGTCTCATTTAGCACTGGTCTCCCCATCAGTGGATACTGTAGAAAGGATTCCAGACACCACACAATTAATCTGACAACTTTTATCTGAAGAAGGTTGGAAGACCTTCTTCAGAAGTTTTATGCTGAAGAAGGTTGAACTCTGGGTGGAAGAGAGTTCACAAAAATTGAAGTGGCAGGGCCATAACTCCACCACAGCCTACCACAAAAGGAACTGGACCCAGGTGCCTCACCTCTCAGGCAGTGCAGTATCCTGGCTGTTCAGGTAATCACTATCACATTACACTATTTCAGTTTTTAATTAAAAACTCAACCCACCAAACAAAAAAAACCCTACGCCCCAAAAAACCAACCAAATCAACAAAAATGGCACAAAACTAGAAAAAAACCTAAAAGAAAGTTAGAACAGCCAACTTTGAAAGTCATCACAAGAAGTTAGGGTAGCAGGGTTATAATCACAAAACTCCCTGCCATTCACTAATGTAGATCTTCAGCCATTGGACAAATCTGCCACTATTTGAATTCTGAAAATTACTCACTCAGTCCAGAGCTCTCTGCACAGGCAACTTGCAAGAAATTTGCTTCTTCTAATTAAAAATAACAGGCTGGTCTCTGAAACAGTGATTTCTTTCCAAGTCCTAAACTTTTAAGAGTACACTAGGAGACAGCAATCTCAATTCCATAAACAACTTCACACCTCTAAGATTGTAAGCCAGGATTAGAACCGCAGAAGGAAGGTACGAGAAAATGAGAAGCCATTTATTAAAGTGACTTGAAATAAGCTCTACATCATAATACTGTATTTGGCTATGAAATTCTCTTATTATTACTTCATAAAACAGTACTTTTCTCACAACTCCTGTTAAGCCTGTATAATTGCATTTGACATGTACACATTATAGATACATATGAAAATACCTACAAGTTTTCATTCTCTTTCTGAAATTCTGTTAAGCAACATAAGTAGTCACTCCATATAACTTTAACAAACAATCAGAGTGAAGCTTCATACCAACCTGCTTATAATCTGCATACATGATCTTTCCTAGTTCAGGCTGTATTGTTGTGACTGTGGCAAGGGGACAGGAAGAAAACAAACTGGTTTTAACATTTAAAAAATCTAAAAGTTATAAAACATTTAAATATTGTAGAACTTTCTCAGTGTATTTAAACAAATGTGTAGTAGCAAAAAAAAAAAAAAAGGAAAAGGGATAAAGAAAAAGCAAAATAAGACAGATGAAAATTAGACCACATAAAATCCAGTGCTTGACCAAGTCTTATCTCCTTCTGCAGTTCTGCTCCAGTCATCCCAAAATGGGAACAGTGAAGGTAGAGAAGTCTCAGACATAAAAATATTACCTAGATTATGGATTAGCTTCCAAACAGGGATAAAACAACGAAAAGTAAAGTGAGATAGGACTCTTCAAACTGAGAAAAGACTGTAGAGAATTGGGAATGGTGCAAAAAGGTCAGTAGGAGCTATTGGTACTTGCACTCTTTAATTAAAGAAGATCAGATAATTAATTCAAACTTATTGATAGAAAAATAATAATTCTGTCCATTTGTCAGTGGACAGATTAAAACCCCAAAATCTTCTCTGTTGCAAGGTAGCAAGTTCTAAAGCATACAAGATGTTCAAGCAAAGGAACTTGACAGTACATATTCTGTAGACTGAGGATATTACAAACCACAGAGAGTCTCAGTTGCAATAAAAGGGGTTGAGACAAAAATAAATGTTAAATAGACCCTGCATTAACAGGTTGAAGCATTATGGGGGTGTATACATGAAAAACTGAGATGGGTAAAGGAACTGGACACTGAGGCAGCAAGTATCTCCTTGAAGTATTTCTTACAATTAAAAAGCCAGGCAACATTTCTACCCTGTTCTTTATTATAAATATTTACTATAAGCAAGTCAGTGAAAAGACTTCTTTTCCTTCTCAGTAAATATTACTGCTCTAAAAATAAGAGTATGAACTTACATGCATAATTTGCAATCTCAGGTTTGGCATGTGAAATCTTGCTTAACAAGGATGACTTTCCTGCATTTGGAAACCTAGAAGGAAAATCAGGATTGATACACTGAATAAACACCTATATGATTACTGTATATTTATTTCCAAATGTATTCTTCAATGCTATCAATTATTTTTCCACTCATTTACTCAGACTATTAGGGTTTTTTTACAAAACAAACAAGCCCTATTTGATTTACTTTTTGACATCAAATCTGAATAATTTTTCTAAATCCAACAATGCTTCCTAAGGATGCACACAGGAGAGTTATGTAAATAGAGGTGTAATTTATTTAAGTGAAATCTTTCGAAGTCACTCAGACAGAAATACAGCATTACCATCCAGACATACCTGGATTCACTCTTCATGTGCTATAGCTAATTTTGTAAATTATGCTTGCATTCTAAAAAGCTGTCATGCAAATATATCTTACCAGCTGGATTTACAGTCTCTCAGCATACACATCAGGTTTTATGAAAGTCTATACTTTAAGTACCAATGATACCTATGCTAGAGTTCAGCTAACAGAGCAATGCAAATGCAAACTCAGAGAGAGTGAGACTGCATATAGACACACACATGCACAGTGTATGAGTGGTTTTAAGGCAATGAAGTTGCATGAGGGATCCTGAAGTTAGTACTAACCTGTTCTGCTACCAAGTAAACCTAAAAGAACACCTACCTAGGAACTGGTCTGTGGACACCTGTCTGTTGTAACATTTTCACTTTACAAGGGACAGCCATACCTGCATCCTACAACAAAAGTGTTCTTTAATGGATACACCAGATTTTACAAAAGCTTCTTCACAGAACACATCTACCCACTGAAATGAAACCTAAGGTAAGACTGAAATTGTAACACCCACTTGTTTTAAAGATTAACCTGAGCTGGAAAAGGCACAATAGCTTTGATCCATGTAAAACTTGAAGTTAATGCTGACATCCAAGGATAGAATGCAGTCCTTATTCTTAGCACATACTCCATCCAGAAAGTCCACACAAGACTTTCATTCTGAGATGAAATTCACAAATATTCATCTCAGAATGACCAAATAAAACTCTATCTACAGGCAACTCAACACAGTCACAAGATAAAAAGACAGGTGTCCCACAGAAAACCAAATAGTCTCCACTTGAATACATGGAGAAGAACCATGGCCTGTTAACAAGGCTGGCTGGTACTATATTACAGGCCTTTATAAAGAGGCTGTACATAAATCTTTCTTAAAAAAAAGAAAGCAACCTAATGACTCTTGTTATAATAGGGAAACTATTGAGTGCAGTTTTCATATACTCTGATGTTGAAAAGTGCCTTAAAGACATTCCAAAAGGCTACTCTGGTCATATACTCGAGAAGGCATTGGTTTCCACTGAAGTAGATTATGTTCTTTGAAGTTTAAATTGCAACCTAGACTAACACATCACAACTTGTACCCAAACTTGATGGGCCTTTCTCAAGTCTACATAGTTTTTTTTTTACCTGATCTAATAGCAAACCACTCACAAAAAAGGCAAAAATAGCAAGCAAAGAGATCAAAGTACAACCACAACCATTGGAGGCTGATTCATACTCTCAATAAGAAAATTATATGCTTCTCTAATTGACTGATAATGATTTTTGTGTCCATTTTGAAGGCAAACTGTCAGCTGAAATACAAGATTAAAGAAGCACCAGCATCATAAAACTCCTGTACTTTCACACTGATCAAAACAAGAAAAAAATTCTGTCATGTAACTACTGAAGACCAATTGAAAATTATGTAACTTTAGAGAAATTTTATATTGTCAAAATTATTTCTAATAAAAAAATAGTGTATCAATCTGTCTTCAAGTTTCTATTTTTTATCCACGCCGTCTTCAAGTTTCCATATTTTATTGGTATATAGCAACTATACTATTTCCACCTCAAACTCATCACTACATGTTTTTTTATTAATAAGGACCACAGGGCTGATTTATGTTAGCAGATGTTGAACAGAACAACAGTTGTACTACACTACAAGTGTAGGCTGTTGAAAGCTTTCTCCAAATAAAAATATACTTATCTGCATTGTTATAAAGCAGCAACATGGATATTCAAGTCCTACTGTTCTAGTTTGTAATTACTTCCTTCCAACATTACAAGCTGGTTTTTTGGGAGAGTAGGAAACATAGCCTTTGGAATTCTCTTCAGAATTTCTACTGTAAGGATCTACTTGTCCCAGTGACATGAAGTTAAACACTCAATATGCAGTGTTCTTGGCACTGTTTTGCACCTCCTACCTACTTAATAAATATTGTGCTAAGTGTATTGTGGCCATCACTGCAACTGCTAAATACAATTATATTACAAATTATATATTATCCTGATTCATGAAGCCCTTCACTCACTAAAACATAACGAATACTTTCAAATGTAAAAATTCATTTTAATAGCTTTAAACTCAATCTGATTTTTTCAAACTGCAAATAACTTAGGTGGCAATACAAATGCACAATTAACACTCATCATCCAAATTCAAATTTCTTTGAAATCTAATTTGAAATGTACTACTTTGTTTTCTAATATTAGTTTTCAAACTACTGTACTTACCCAACTAAGCCAACATCTGCTATAAGTTTCAGATCAAGGTGAACAGTTCTCCTCTGACCTTTGCAAGGCAGAAAGTTTGTAGCCAAAGAGCCTCCAAGACCTCCACGAGCCGCTAAGAATCTCTCTCCTGCTGCATTAAGCTCTCCTGAAAATAAATTTGTTAGTGAAAAAACACAATCTTCTGCAGTAGTTAATTTGTGATTTTCCATTTAAAAATCTCCAGTTGTAAGACAATTTTGTGTATGCTTCCTTGCAAGAACTGTGCCCTCAAGGTGATGGTGATTTTCATTGTTTGGCAACAAATTAAAACCACCACACCCCAGTATTTTTCTCTGTCATTCAATCAGTCACCTCAAGAAAACTACAGTCAGGCAAAGTATGGCCAAGATTCTGAACCCTCCAACGTTTGAATTCAAGAATGCAAGGGAAAAATACGCATTGATAGAGATGTGGTTCCCTTCAGATGGTTCATATTTTTCATTAAGATGCAGACTATGATATCCCCCTTAGGGTTAGAATAATTAAAACAACAACAAAAACAAAAAGAACAACACTTGGATATCTTCAGCCCTCTGATATGCCTGCATCATAAACAAATCTTGCAATACATCCAGTGCAGTTAAACATCCAAACCAGGGCAATTTGGGAATTTAGTTTTAATTCTGAACAGTCTGAAAAGAAAAACTCTGAGAAACTGCAAGGGAACCATTGAAAGCTATTCCAAGAGTATTGAAAGACATCTTCCTAGTGAGTAAAAAACAGATATGCATTTTAAATAACCTAAAATTCAGCAAGGATCTTTGTCTTTTGAGCATTTTCATAATTCAGTAAAGATATAGGGACACTTACTTGGGTTTTACGGAGACATAACTTATGTGAGGGCACAAATGGTTCTGTGAAAGATCAGTATGGCTTTCAGCCTTTAACAAGTCCTTCCAAGCAAAGGACTTGTATGTAGTGATGCACACCAACTACAGCTAATTTCTGGAAGGGGTCCCTGCTTTTCCAACTATTTTTACAGTGTATATGTCAACTTGGCCAAACAAAGAAAAACACAGACATATTTTGGAAAGCCTGTAACCTTAAAACATCCTAGTATTAGAAATTCACTAGATGTTCTCAATAAATGTAACAAACATTAGACACCTTAAAACAAAGCAAATATTCTTACCAATCTGCTTGCCATCATCATCAAGAACTGAAATTCCCAAAGGCACGTGAACTTCACAATCTTTTCCTTTTTCACCTTTTAGAGCTTTAACACTGGGAGAAATTAAACCAGGCTTAGTACCTTCAGCTGACATTTTGCTTTCTGGAAAAGTTGTAAATAACAACTTTCATTAAATGGATACTTACCTGCTGTTGGCTCCTGCTCCAGCTACAAATCGCTTCTGGGGATATTTCTCCCTAATGCTCTTTAAGGTAGTCCTTTCTCGGGCGACGAACCAGACATCACCACCTCTTCCTCCTTCCCCTCCCAGATTAGGATAACCCATTCCACCAGTTCCTCCTCTCACATAGACCCGCAAATCGTCTATGAAGTTGCTGTACTAATAAAACAATAGTTTCAACATCAGTTAATTACGTTCTCTTTATATTTCGCTACACAGAAGCGCGGGTAAAACCGCTTGGACTGATCTTTCATGGCAATAAATGAAACTTCAGAAAGGAGTGTAATGTTTGGCACGTCTTCTCCGGCAGCGACACCTCACGGCGCGCAGGGTCCCGGGCAGCAGGCCGGGCCAGGCCGGGCGAGCCCGGGCTCCGCAGACCCGCGTGCCGCCATGGCGGGACATCGCCGACGGGCCCTGAGGGCGCCGGGCACCGCGGGCAGCACGGGCGGGGCGGGACGGGACCAGCCCGCACCAGCCGGCACACGGGAACTCCCGGAGAGGCCCCGCAAGCTGGACCGCGGCTCCCCGCCAGCCCTCCCCGCCGCCCGAGCGCCGCCTGCGGCACCGTCCCCACCGCTCTCCCGCACTGACCTTCCGCAGCACCGCCGCGCCGCACCGCACCATGGCGGGAGCAGCCGCCGCCCGGGCCCAAGCCCAGCCCAGGCCCGAGGCTGTGCGGAGGGCACGGGGCAGGAGAGCGGGCCGGCTCCGGGCGCCGCACGGCGGCAGCGTAGCACCGGCCCCGCTCCGG